GCCAGTTCTCGGTCTCGAAATGATATCGATAAGAAACAGGCAAAGAATTGTAATCAAATGGCTCATATAACTTGAAGAATTTGATAACTAATTGCAACTTTTAACGAAAATTACAAAAATTGCCTATATATAAGTAGGCATCCGTCAAGGTACATATCGTAACCGGTTGAACAGAATAAAATTCACGAAGATTCAATAAAACTGAATTAGGTCAATTGACTAATACCATAAGTGATGATTTCCACCACTCCTCATCGATCCTCAATCGTCTCACTTCACTCGAAAGATACTTGGATGCATATCGCGCCGTTACATCTCGCATACCAAACTCTATGCAGTCATATTTACTGTCAATACAAATAGATAATTCTGTATGTGATATTGAATATATCATATAAGCCATAAGAGCAATAGATAATCTGATGTTTTATTATTCAGAATGACTTGAAAGCAGGCAATATTTATCTATTTCTCTAACAAATCCTCAATTTCACGACGTCTAATGCAGACTCAGGACAGAATACAACGTAGGATTGGTTAGAGGTGCATGGATGACGGTATTAAACACCGAAACGTTGATGGTTTAGTGAATAAATAAACAAATCTTATGCGACTGCTAACCATAAGCAATGTCAGATATCAGATAGTTTAGTCAAATAACCAGCATGCACCTGATGCAAGAAGTAGGGAAAGGTTCATGAAGAAATGATCACTGAGCGAGAAAATGTAATGAATGATAAAAGGTAACTTTTCGATTGCGTTACTTCATTCGTTAGTGTTTGAATGGCGAAACGACTCGTATTCCTCAACTATCGAAAATAACAAAATTGAAAGTTCATAAACAGCAATAACAATTTACCATTATCAATCGCGATCACGTAATGCATCGGTGATGTGGCATCTGATTCGATCAGTTCAGCCATATCAATTGTGCCTTTCATCGGATCTATGCCTGCAAAAAATTGAATGATTGTTCGTTATCTTCCTTGATATTCTTATTGAGAATTCCATCAGTTCGAAGCATCCAGTTCTCCCCACTAACTATAAATGTACTGTCATTTAACGAACCAGTTTATTCCTACGCATTGTATGTAAAATACTCATAAAAAAGGCACAAAAATGTTACAGAAACAAGCGCACTCCCTTGAAACCATCACAAAAGACCGTTACATAAATCGAAAGAATTTATGTATACTCCTTCATCGTCATTCATTCTAATTCCAACATTCTCACAATAAAACCATTCAAATTTATCTTCGAAATCACAAAATCGTAAAAGGTAACCAAAAACATTTATTCATCTAAAAATAAACTTACAAATCCACTCTTCGGATATTTCATCCCAATATTCCACCCAATAATTACGCCCCAAATTGACCTTCTTCGTAGGCATCTTCTTCTTAGAATTGACGGTGATCCCCTTCACTGAACTATTGACCGCCTTCTTGAATTTCTTCTTCTGCTCCTCTCCTTTTTGACGTTTACTCTTCGGCGTCCAATCCACCTCACTCGCACTTTCATTCAATTCTGCACTTGTTGCGTTGTCTTTCGTCGATTCTTTCACAATTCGTTTCGATGTCTTTGAAGAACCAACTTTACTCGATGATGCTTCATTTTCCTTTTTTTCATCCGATTTTGCCAAACTTTTAAGATCCTGAAATATTCGTCGCATTATTATTATTATTATTATTATTATTATTATCACCAGCAATATTACAAAATTCTTAAAGAATTAACATCAACTTTTTGAAGTAATGAGCAAATGCAATGTTAACATTAAGATTCACAGAAGTGCGATAGTATAAATGCACGTTCAAATGATAACTGACCGGTTTATGTGAAACGGGATAACATGAAAGACACAAGCGAACAGACTGTTTCAGTGCAAGTAAACACAGAACCAGTATCTGAAATGTAAAGCACCAGTCAAAAGAGTATCAAAGAGAATTTAACAACAAAACTGAAGCAAATGAACAGCAAAATATCAATTTTATCACTCAGTTAGCCATCTGATACGAGGTGATGAGAATTCATTTATCATTACATATCTACGATATCGACTCAATGAACAATGTTGAATGGTTCACAAAGAAATATTAATCGATAACTTACTGAAGCAATATCTTTCGGCGTTTCGTAGACCTTATCGCTGATCAACATTCCGAGTCGTTCAACCTGGGAATTGAAAACGCTATGGGAGAATTTAAAACTATAACCAACTGCAAAAGGAACTTTTCCTTTACAGAGAACCGCTGCTTTAGTCAATCGGTTAATGAATCGTTAACGTGGATGAATTGTGTCATCACACAATCGATCAAAACAGGAAATTCACAGTAAAAATGCGATAATTCTTATGAAACGGTGAATGTAAAAAACGACGAACCTGTGCGTCGCAGAATCCACTTCTTGTCAAATAAATGGTCAAGTCTTTACGAACGAATGCCGAATGGAACCACTTCATGAATCGCTCGACCGATGCTGTATCAAATGACAATTGTGCTGACTGCACATAACCCTCCGGGATCAACGATAAGCACTGTGCAGACAGAAATTCACTACGAACCAAAGAACGCATCCACACACGTAAATGAGCTATATAACAGAGCAGATGCACCTGAATTACATTGTCAAATTACTGTTTCATTCCACCCATAAGTCCCTCTGGTTCCGTGAATAAAACAGTAAACATATATAAATACGATTGTTCACGTGAAGAAATATGAGACCACTTTCTGTGAAATTGCGTTAAAATGCGAAACAAATATGAAATCAAATGAACAAAATTAAATCGACTGGAACGAATACCTTATGACAGTTGATTTGCCTTTTGAGGATCTGACGATT